TACCTGTCTCTCTGTCTCTGTCTCACCCTACCTGTCTCTCTGTCTCTGTCTGACCCTACCTGTCTCTCTGTCTCTGTCTGACCCTACCTGTCTCTCTGTCTCCCTGCAGAGCTTTGCCTCAGAGATGAACAGCCTTGTTGCTCTTCATGAACTTTACAAATACATCAACAAATACTATGACCAGGTAATGTTCTCACTCTCTCATGTCATGTGACCGGTCAACTGCACAGGTACAAACCATAGTTCACACTCACACGCCTCTATCTTCTCAAACTGTTTACCTGTGACTTTAGATCATCATGTCCCTGGAGGAAGACACCTCTGGTCAGAAGATGCAGTTGGCCTATCGGCTGCAGCAGGTCGCCGCTCTGGTGGAGAATAAAGTCACCGACCTCTGACCTGTGAGTGCTGATGAAGAGGATGAGGAGACGGGGGGGCCAAAGCAGTGAAGCTGATTGGACACCCCTGTCTGTCTGTGTGTGAGGGACATCCAGTCTTTTTATAATGGGTCTTCCGGTTCCCCCGCACGGCAGCAGCTGCCAACTGACATCCGACTAACGACAATCCAACCAACCAGATCAGGGAACATCGTTGTCACCTTCTGCCTTGCACTACGATTCCCAGAGTTCTCTGCTGTCTGAGTCAAAAAAAAAGCACAACTTAAGTATTTTCTTCTGTCTCTAAAGTGATGATTGACCTGCTGTTTTATATGTTTTTCTACTGAAGCCAGCAGATCGGACTCCAAACGGCGCATCATTCCCAGGCGCTTCTGGAAGTTTACTGAACGCAATAACAGAATCTGAATCAGGGCGTTTTCACCGTGTTTCAGTGTGACTCCACTTTCCAACTGCTTGACGGCGTATTGCTCAGAAAGCTCAGGACTCCTGACCCGAAAACAACACAACCTCCAGTTTGTTCCAGTAGTGCATCTAATCCAACATAAAGTCTGAAACTAACACGTCTACTAACGAACTAGTGATGTTGGTTTAGTTTATAATCCAGATTAACGCAGCTGGCACAACAGAACCAGACCCAATCAATTGGGTCCATTTCCAACATCACTGGTTCTTACGGAACAGGAACAGATGTGTTTTTTAGATAATGTGTGAGAAAGGAAACTCTGATATTCCCATACTCCGCACTGCGTGTGTGGTTTAAGTTTGGTCATGTGACCCGTACCAGGAAGTGGAGTCGCAGCTGGCGTGTTTCCAAAGCGTAGAGGCTCTGGAATAATCGAACCGATCAAAAACGAGAAACAATCAGAGATCCGTGTGAGTATTACTAACTTATTGTTTGTACAGACTATTTATATTTATTTATCCCAGCTGTGCCTTCGCTCTGCAGCTAGGGGGCAGCCTAATGTGTCCCAGTGCATGATGGGAAAATGATTTGAACAGTTCAGGTGAACTCACCTGTGTCCTTCAGCAGGAAATCAGCCCAGGTCTGGTTCTTACTGGTTTTCACTGGTTTGTCCGGGTCTTGTCAGAGTCCTCTGGACCCTGGTGGATCCTGGAGGCCATCAGATCCTCCTGAGGAACCCTAACCCTGGACTCTTCTGTTGGGTCATCATGGAGGGGGGTCGATAAACAGAACCAATCAGATGGATTCTGATGGATTCCCAGTTATAGAACTGGACCAGAGTTCTGAACTCGGTTTTCTTTTTCTGCTGCTGATTAAATTTCTTCTTCAACTTTTGATGTTTGTGTTTTTTGGGCCTGTGTTCGACCCGTAGTCGTAGTTCTTTGCTCAAAGTAGCTTCTGCATGATGACGATGATGATGATGATGATGATGGTGCTTCTTCTTTTTCTGAACCTTCAATGTTTACTTTTTAAGAAAAGGGGCGGGGCTCTCATGACCTAATGAGTGCATGAAATAATGCTGAGCTCTGATTGGTGGAGCTGTTTTCTACTGAATACATTCATGGGGGGGGGTGGGGGTGTATGGTTACAGTGAGCTTACTGTGTGTAAATGTGCCTGTAAATATCTGTGAGGAAGACCATGATGAAGATGAGTCCGTCTCAGATTTAAAATGTGCTTTTATTGTGAAGGGCCACGGATCAAACAGTTTGTATCATAAAAATAAAGCTCTAATTTTTAACCTTGTTTCTTTGTGCTGACTGCTTCTGCTGTCAGGGCCGGTTCTAAGCTCACAGTGTCTGGGGGGGCCCCCAGCCCTGAAGAGAAGAAAATTATCGTTTTTTGGTATCATTTAATGAGGAAAAAGAGAGAAATAAAATGAATATTAAGTCAGACTGAAACAGCTTCTGTTTTAGCTCGACTTAAGAAAATTTCATCTTTCATTTAAAAAAACTCAAAATCAAACTGAAAAAAACAACCTATATCATTAAAGAAAACTAATAAAATGGACCTAAAGAAAATATCTACAACTTTTTCAAACTGATTACTTGTTGAAGAATATTAAACCCATATAAGGTCTAGAAGAGGGGAACATTTAGGACATTTTGGGGCCCCTGGCAAAGACAGGCAGGGGGCCCCTCTGAATGGAGAAGAC